CGCTGACAGGATGGGAAGGGTGTTCCTACCTGGCCTGGGGGTGGCGTGGGGGGGGGAACGGACCTTGCATTTAATCCATATCTCTCTATGCTCCATAGATACAGCTAGGCAGAATTAATTCCTTGCCATCCTAAAAAGACTAATTTAACACAGGCACGCACACGCACCTCCCCAAAGATGATGTTCTGCGCCTTCTCATGCCCTGGAATAACAACAGCAATAAATAATGACCACAGGATCAGCAAAGAGCAGAACGGTTTAATATCTCACACTTGATCCCCTCCTTTTCTCCCGATCCTTTCCAACCGGACAGTTGCTATAGCCACCATCTCTCCTCGTTTTGACGGATCTCTCAGGAGGCAGATTTTTCCCTCTCTTTGGAAAAGCGCCAGGAGAGATGTTTCCCCCACCAGCCCACCTCCAGAGTAACGTCTCCACCACCGTAATGCTCTAATGATGATTAACTCTCAGTTAGGGACGCTCTGATTGCCATGGATTTGGGTTGACTTGAATGGGTGGGGAAAGAGGTTTCTTTCTTCGCCCTGGGCTTTAATCTGGGCATGTGAATCGAGATCCTTTCCTTCTACTGGAGAGATGGCCGCATCCTGAAGCAAAAGAAAGAACTAGGGGACCGGATCCTGCAGAAAATTGTGATGTTTGTGCCTTTAAGAGGATCCAAGACCAGTTAAGACTGGTTAAGAGTGACAGCAGGTCCATCCATTGCTAAGACTCTACTAAAGGAGACCCATGGAATGAATGGGGCTCGTTAGGTCAACACTTGTGCAAATCTGATTGTTCAATAGATCTACTCCAGTTGAGACTGGATTTAATCCTGCAAATCTCACCAGGTTAGCAGTATGGTCCATATGCAAACCTGGGAGGGGAGAGGAGATCTTCCCTTATACATTAAGGAATTTCCTTAATTGGGAAATACTCTTGACCAAAAATGGACATCAAAGACGGAACAGACTGATGCCTGATTTCTTGAAACCTGGGAGTGAGAAACAGTGCCTCCCCCCCATTCTTTCACCCATTAAGTGGGGACAACTTTATTTATTTATTTATTTAATTTATATCCCGCCTATCTGGTCTTGCGACCACTCTAGGCGGCTTCCAACATATAAAAACAACATATCCAAAGAAGGAAAGCAAATTTGCCAGCTGGCCAAAACAGTTGGTGTCCTACTGTACCATCTCAAGATGTTCTGCCTTCATGGCTCCCTACGCTTTGACCTGTCCGCCTGCTTTCCAGCTCACAGGCAATTTGCTTGCCTTGAGTCTTGAGTTGAACTGTAACAAAGATCACCTGAAAATGTATATTTATTTGTCTCTTTGAACAAATAAATAAATATACATCCCAAGTTGGTGTACCAGTACATGGCCTGAACTACGTCCCCCTCCCCCAACTCCCATGTCCTTTTGCCAATTTCCCGTGGACTCATAGAACAAACTTTATTTCTGGACGTAGGGGTTGAACGTGAAAGAAACTGGAAGCATTCCTATATAATCGCAACATTCCCTCCCCATAATGTTAATTAATATAGAAATGCATTGATGCATGCCATTTCAGTCACTGGATCCAGGTTTTTGGGGGGCTGAGAGGTGAGATCGTAACAGAAACCATCTTCAGGATGGGTCCCTTAAGATAGAAGAGATACAGCATTGAGACAGAAAATTCTTCCATTCTTTCTAACTTTTATGGATGTCTTCCAAGCCGTGAGAATATGTGGGCCTACTTTCGGAGAATCAGGAAATGTCCCAGAAAGAGTTTTGTTCTGTTTTCTCATCTGTGCATTGGGGGGTGGGAATTTCTCTCCCTACCCAGATCAAGTTTGCAATATTGATTACGATTACGATTACGATTACGATTACGATTACGATTACGATTACGATTATTATTATTATTATTATTATTATTATTATTATTATTATTATTATTATTATTATTATTATTATTATTATTATT